GGCCCTCATATGTGGGATCCGAACCGGGGCCCTCTGGTGTCCCAAGCCAGTTCTTAACCATCGCGCCACTCGGCCGGCCCATGGATGTTTTTCAATAACTATACAGTTGGCCCTCTGTATTTCCAGGTTTCAGAAGCATGGATTCAGCCAATCACAGGTTGAAAAGACAGTGTTTTCCATCTTTAGTTGGGAACCCACAGATGTGGAGGGCTGACTATGCATTGTTCTATGCTATTTTATTTAAAGACTGAAACATTGTGGGTTTCGGTATCCAAGAGGAATCCCGGAGCCAATCTCTTGGGAATATCAAGGGACTGTAATTAGGTCAAAAACTGCACGGGGTCAGCGCCCCCAACCCCTGTATTCAAAGGTCAATTGAATTAGGATATGTTAAATTTTAAAAAATTGATGAGGTGCAGAGTTAAGAACATTGGAGTTAGGTGCTCCTGCTTTAAGGATATGAAGACCTTGTGTTGGGTTAACAAGTCAGCTTCAATTTCGTTGTTTTGTTTTTTTTTTAAACTTAAGTTCTGTCCTAGGTCAGTTTCTCTAAATTGATCTTCTAATAACCTCCTCTTCTACATCTCCTGTGTTCTTTAAAAGCTCCTGTTTGTTTTTTTATTTGTTTGTTTTGTTTTTATTTTTTTTAATGATATGTGTGGCAATAGCAGCTAGAGCAGCTTTGTGTATATATAAGTCCCTTTTAAGTTAGAGGGCTTCCAAATTCTTTTAAGAAAACAGCAAATAGATTAGAAGAATATAATTTATTTGGTAAGAATTTCCAATGAAGTAGCCAGAATAAGCAAATTTTAGCCCTAAAAGAAGACTTACATTTCACTTAGTTGAAGAATAGTTTAGGATAGTTTATTCACTAAGAAATGTGATAAATACAATATTTGAAGAGAACAGTTATGTGATGATATATTTAAAATCTTTTTCCTTTATATTTTAAGTTTGCTACTTAAAGATTTTAAAAAGTGAAATCAGGTTCTTGGTCCTTTGTCCTACATGTATTTTAGACTGATAATTCCTGGTAGCAGGGAAGACAAGATTAGCAAGTATGAATTATATTTTTATTTTATTTTTGTGTTTATATGGTTTTTTGAGCTGTTTATTCAAGTAAAGGTTTTTCCCTTAGCAAATGAAATAGCATTTATATTTCAGCAGTGTATTTTAATTTAACTGATCATTTGTTTACCTCTGAAAGCTATGATCAAGGCAGCAGCCGTTACCTGATTGATTTGGGAAAGAGGTGACTAAACTGAAACATAGTTAATGCATTTACTAAATGTGGGCCCTTCTTGTTGGGAAGGGTATGTATGTATATTTCCTGCAGTCTGATAATAGAAGTTGGTTTTAAAAAATAAGCTTTGTACAAACACTTTGGCCTTCTTTGAGATGTAGTTTCTTTGGATTTTATGATTATTGTTATGTTAGTTCATAGAGTAACACAATGGAATGTGAATTTACAGCAACCAGAGTTAGTAGGGCAGATTTAATATTGCCTGACCTTTTTCTATAATAATAGAGAAAATAAGATAGTGTAATAATATTTAGTTCTTATCACGACCTATTAAATTTATTTAATCATGTACAGCTATTTAAGAATATATTAGTATAAAAAATACTACTTTTATTTCATTTTAACGAATTTAAAACATTTGTAAAAAATATAATTTTATCACAGAAAGTTTTCAAATTAGATAGAAGTATGGAAAATAACTGTAATTTTATCACCCAGTGGCAATGTTACTGTGGCTAGCAATTTAGTTAAACCTATGCACATTCAAACACACAGACACGCGCGCACACACACATTTCCCTTAATGTATTGGGATATTTCACCAAATTTTGATATATTTTCAAGAATATTTTTGAAGACTATATAGATTTCTTTGTTTCAACAGACTTTAACTTTTTATTGAAGTTCTGTAACAACTGACAGAAATGTGCTCATATCACAGATGTACATGTTAAAATTTTACAAAGTGAGCACACATTTGCAGCCATCATTCAACTCAAGAAAAAACATTGCCAGCTCCCAGACACACACTCTTTTTCCTGCCTCCTGTCAATAGCCCCTTTCAAGGGTAGCCTTTTTGATTTTATTTTTAAGAAAAACTTTATTGAGTTGTGATTTGCATGCAATAAAACTCACCCATTTTAAGTGTAATTCAGTGATTTTTAGTAAATTTACCGAATTGTGCAGCCATCACTACAGTTTTAAAACATGTGTGAATACATTTTAATCAGTTTCCTTCTGTTGAATACATAGTGTATTTCTAGTTTTTCACCATTGTAAACACTACTCTAGCGATTTTCCATGTATATCTTCGTATATATTTCTGAGTTCGTCAGGATAGGTTCCTAAAAGTACAGTAATTGGTCCAAAGAGTATGTGTATTTTTATGGCGTTTGGTACATAGTACCAAATTACCTTTGAAAGTAGTTGAGTTAATTTATAGTCCCACTGTCAGTAGATGAATGTCCTTTATTTTTTAACCACCTCAACATTGGATGCATTTTTTAAGACTAGTTTGGTGGGTAAATTATGGTACCTCTGTTTTAATGTTCATTTTTTTGATTAGTACTGTAATTGACTATTATATATTTAGTGACTATTTCTAAGTTTTCTTTATGATTTCTCTGATCGTATTCTGTCCGTTTATTTCTTAATGAATGCATTTCTTTTTATTTTTTACTTGTAAGACATTTTAATACATTAAAGCAGCGGTTCTCAACCTGTGGGTCGCAACCCCTTTGGGGGTCAAATGACCCTTTCACAGGGATCACTTAAGACCATCGGAAAACAAAAAGATATTTACATTACGATTCATAACAGTAGCAAAATTACAGTTATAGAGTAGCAACGAAAATAATTTTATGGTTGGGGGTCACCACAACATGAGGAACTGTATTAAGGGGTTGCAGCATTAGGAAGGTTGAAAACCGCTGCATTAAAGGATATGAATCCTTTGAGTGTTACAAATACTTTCCCCCAATTTGCTTTATATCAGGCTTATTTTTCATAAAAATAGATTAGGATTTTATGCCCTGATGACAAAAATGAAAATTTGTGTTTTAGTCTACCAAATTTTGGAAACTTACTTAGGTAATTAAAAAATTGGAGGCAATACTGAATTATATGAGTGAAATTTTCTATTAAGTATGTACCTTTCATAATTTGAATTTAATAAATTATCAAGTAGACATATAAAACTAATTTATTATGCTTTGTTGCCAAACTTGGTCTTTCTAGGCAGTAATACTTAAGCATGAACATTGACGACAAACTGGAAGGATTATTTCTTAAATGTGGCGGCATAGACGAAATGCAGTCTTCCAGGGCAATGGTTGTAATGGGTGGAGTGTCTGGCCAGTCCACCGTGTCTGGGGAACTGCAGGAGTCGGTACTTCAAGATCGGAGTATGCCTCACCAGGAGATCCTTGCTGCAGATGAAGTGTTACAAGAAAGTGAAATGAGACAACAGGATATGATATCACATGATGAACTCATGGTCCATGAGGAGACAGTGAAAAATGATGAAGAGCAGATGGAAACACATGAAAGACTTCCTCAAGGACTACAGTATGCACTTAATGTCCCTGTAAGTAATTCCTTTATAAGATATTAAACGTATAATTAGAAACATAATCAATTTTGTATTAAGCAATACTACAAGTCATTGAAGAAATTTCAGGAAATGTTTGATAGCTCAAATGGGTGTTTTTAAATAGATACACCAAATGGTGACAGATCATATTTGAAAAGGCAAAATTAAGTTCTTGTATTACATAAATTTTAGAAACTTATCTTTTCCAGGATAACGCTTTTTTCATCAGGATTACTGTGTATTAAATTTTAAGTGCTTACTTTTGAAAGATACTTTGTTTTAACTTCTGGGTTTCTCCTTAAAGGGTAGAAAGATTGAATCTGGAGCATAACTAGAAAAAGATCGTAAACGCAAGGGGTTTTCCTTCAAATTCTGTAACTCCCAGCAATTCCTGCCTTCTTTAGTTTTTAAAATTATCTTTTAAAAGTATATCAGACCTTTAGTCTTTTCTATTTACCCTAGACATCATTCCTTATCACCTAAGGTAGTCTTTTGTAGGCACATTCATAACTTTTTTGCCTCCTTGCATTTTTTTTATTTTTTTATTTTTTTTTATTGGGGAATTGGGGGGAGGGGAACAGACAAGTTGCTGACCTTTTGTTCTTCAGTCTAGTTGTGGAGGATGTTGCTTCACTGGCCCAAGTTGGCACCATCATTG